GTCCACATTCACAGCATCCGTGCTTATTGAAGTGCAAACATTTTTTGTAAAACAAGATTCTTTTGTGATTTTCTGGTTTATTGAATATTTGATTTGCTTTTGACCATTTTTGACCATTTTGACCTTGAATCCCTTTATCAATGTTTTTCCTTCTTTTTGATCTATTGTAGAAGACTAATGGTTTTTGTTTCATACCGTGGAATGATAAGAATGGAATATTTTTTCTCTTGTACTTCTTTCTTTTCGTCGCTTAAGGGGACCAAATTTCACGTCCTGCCGTTAGTCCCTTCTTTCTAGTTTCCCCGAGGGATTTCCTTTATTAATGAAGGCGACGGCATCATGGAACCAGAACAGCTGCATTGCCAAATGCATCTCAGATCATTGTGTTCAATCGGTCTTGTGCTCATGACGAATGGTTTCGGAAAATGGCACGTCATTTACTCCACCATTAAAACATCAGTTGGTTCATATTACGCACAGTAATAAAAGGCGAATGACTAATGAAACACAAGATTTCACAGCGTACTGCACCACAACCTCGGTCTAGTTCCCGGGGGCATCTACGTAGGTCACTGCTCTGTTGTAAGAAATCATATTTTTGCTGCTCTTGCTTACGTATGCAAAAAGTCATACAGTAGTAGAAATCTTACCCGTTTCGGTTACCCTCTGGATTGTCATTTTGATGTATTTTCAGATTAAGGAATAGTCTTTCTGTCACGAGTTCCACGCCTTGGCTTTTCTTGAAAACAAATTTAATAAATTTTCTGGTTAACCTGGAGTTTCTTATTAAAATTCTGTTCAATGAAATTGATCATTCTTGTAGCATGGGGTTAATTTCATTCGAAGCATCCCGTTCAGCGCATACGTGGCATGACCCATTACATGCATAATCGCTGTGGATAATAAACAGGGATATGGTCCTAGATTTTGTTTGGTGTGTGACTAGTATTCTAACTATTCTTCTACTCTTTGTTTAGATGATGGTTTTTGTTATTTTCTAAACCTAAGAGCATATTTCCAAAAGTTGATGATGCCTGACCCTTTTAAACAATATTACACACTTAGAATGCATTAGGAGCCATATCAATCAACAGATATCGTTTCCTCCTTTACAACAGACTTTCACGACTACCACAACAGCAAGAGAAAAAAGACAATAATGAAAGTTTTGTTATCATTGGAATGTTGGTCTCCGTTATGCTTCCATGATGGACGATATTTGTGATTATCGTCTTTTTATGGAGCACGTGGTGTGGTTTCATCTCGTTTCTGTTCTGTCAGCCAGGAATGCCTTATTTTAAACTCAATGTGTACAACTGTGTAAAAAGTTTAGCAAGCTGCTTCCTGTTTTCATTTCCACGAAGTGGTATTTATTTTCTTCAAAGGGGTAAAAGGCGAGTAATCTGGCCGGGGTTTGAACATTTTTTTCGATTATGATTCTGATTGGTAACGTTTGTTGAGCTGCAAGAAAGAATACTACTGAACTCGTTCATTGATAGTTGGAATGTCATCTTAAAACCTATTCACAAATATTAATGTGGCAACAGATGCTCTCTCAGAAGTGCTCTAGTACCTGTTTCGTTCAAATTTGGAGTGGGTAGTACTCTCACATGCGTATTAAAGAACCGAAAGTTAGTAACAATTGGAATATCTTTTCTTTACGCTTTCACGATGGAGTTATTTCTAGCATCCTTCTTGTGATAAAGTTAATGATAAGGCGCTGATGTCTATTTCCATGCCATCAGTCAGAAGTGCGTTATTTTAAAGTTAGGATCGGCAACAACTATGAAGCAAGCATTGTTTATGATCTGCTGTTCCTTTCCCACTCCAGTGATACTCATTTTTCAACCTCAAAAGCAATGAAGGTGAGTTGTCTGACTAGGGCTCGACTCCGGAAGCTCACCGTTCCGAGTCTGAGAATACTCACGGAACAACTCTGGCGTAGAGGACGTTTACATATTTTCCTGAAGATGCCGCCTGTATGCAATGCCGAAATGCGTTCATAAAGGATGGATGTTATGTTTCTATTAACTTGGGCCACGAATCAAAATTGAAAAGCAATAATCGTCATTGGGGCAAGCACATATATTCTACACGTATATTCTATTGTATGGTACAATTGTCTTGAATGCCTTCCTTCTCTGATATCATGCTATATCGATCGTTTGGGATATGATAAGCGGATGAACGGGCGTTAAAATTGTTACAACGGATATCAATGTGTCAAGAAAGAACGAGTCAGAACTTCTGCACTGTGGATCATCCGTGTCTAGCCAGCACGTGATCCCATGGCAATAAACAGACAGCGCTTAAGAACTACGTTACCTCATCCGCAAATCCGGAGGAACGTTACTTGTTCGTGCCATCAGTTACGTTAGTCGTGCGACCTTGAAGCAGACATCGGTGACTCCTGTACCAGAAGCATCATATGGCCCTTAAGGTTAGTCACAGTGGCGCCGTGCAACTGTTGGATGACTAAGTTTTGTTCAAAACCTTTGTTGTATGATTAAAACCTGTACGAATAAAAGCATTATGTATTTCCTTGTTTGTGACATGTTACGGTTGCATATTTACAGTATTCATGATGAAGTTATGCGAGCATGTGCAACTACGGCTTATAATACCAGGTGTATATCAAGGAGCAGGCACGCTTAGTCATTCGGCATGCATAGTTATTGAAAGATTTTTACGAAGACTGTGTGTAGCTCTAGCATGTCATGTAGTATGCGCATGAGATGACGTAGATGGGTGAATATAACAACAACAACAACAACAGAGATTGCATCTTTCATTGATTATCACTTTTAATAAGCCTGTATCAGTTGTATCAGGTTGAGTTGAAGTCCTATTGGGTGCTCTCCTCAGACAACACAGTTGTACCTTTCAC